TGAAAGCAAAATATTTTGAATACTTTCAAATTACAAAAACATCCCTAATGCAGTCATTGCATATTTATTAATAATAATATTTGATTAGTTTTATTCATTTATATCTATTGCGTTCACGTACTTTTTAAGAGAATTTTTTGTGTAAATACCATTATACCTATAAAATTTAAGAAACATGCTGGAGAAAATAAATCAGAAAAATGAAACCTTTCCTCTATGTTATTGTTAAGTGCTGTGGAATCGAGTATGAGATAGCTATGCCATGAACAAAGGTCTGAACCTTGTTATATCCTGTGTCAGCCTCGCACTTTATATGACACACAAGAGTCCATTGCAGTAGTCAACATGTCAATCCACCTGGTTGAGGGTCTTCCTCTTCTTCGCCAACCCTCCACTCTTTGCAGCATCATGCCCAAAATATATGAGGACTCTAAAACCATATATTTAACATATATACTTCACATAAGACTTTACAATGCCCTTTTATATTTTTAGAAATATTTGTATGCGCTTCTGAGTGCTTGATAACATTGCCACCCGCCCCCCCCACCCACGAGATAGATTGGATATCACACTAGGAGGTGATTAAGGAGTCTTATAATAATGAATTCATTTTTTCAAGCGCCTTAGGCTTGCTGATTTGGCTCCTTCATCACCGCCCCTTCACTGAGCTGATCTTCTTCTTGGGCCTTTTGGCGGCAGGGAGGGCTCCTGCCTGGTGCCTGCGGGCTGCAGGGCACACAGAGCCTTCGCCAAGCTGGATTTTTTAGTAGGTCTAGAAACATTTTTAAAAGGAAGGAAATCCCACTTCACCCCATTTTTAAGTGTAAATGTGTTTTGTTTTCTTTTGTTTTTTTAACTGGTGAGATCATTTGCTGGTTGTTAATTTTTTTTGTTTGATATAACTAGAAAATGTGGGATATTAAAATCGTGGGGGGCTTTGGGTGTCAGTGTAACACTCCATGGGGGAAGGAGACAGTTTTTATATCCAGAGCATACTTAATGACAAATAAAAATTATTTTACCCACCTTTATCTTATTTAGGATATTATTTATTCATGCGTATCACTCTTTTAGAAAAAGTGACTTTAATGTTTCTTTTTCTACTCAATTGTACCTTTTTATCTAGAGGCAAATTCATGCATCATCAGGATTAAATGCCTTTGAGGAACTGAAATACTTTTGTTTTTGTTAAAGGCCTTTAGAGATGCAATGGCTAAGCGTGGGCTGCTAACTTGAGAGAGAAAGAAAGATAAGGCAGAGTGCTTCCAGACCTATCACAGCCTTGCAAAGCTTGTAGGGTAGTTCTAAGCTGTTTTACTCTGTCCTGTGTGTCTAAATTGACTGAATGACACCTGTTTTTATAGGTGTTCTTGTTTTGATTTCATTATTTAATTACGATTCACTCATCTTTTTTCATTGAGTACAAAGATATGTAGCTTTGCAAAAATTATTAACAAAGACTCAGGGTAAAAACAAATGCCATACAAATTTTAAGTAAAGATTATTTTTTAAGAAAGAATTAACTTCTATCTAAGAATTCTGAATTATCACCCATTACAAAGGAAACAAAACACAAACCAGGGAAATATCATAGCACATTTTTTTTTTCATATTTAGAATAATTTAACAATCCTACTTTGAAGGAAATATGTTATTGAAATACATTTAAAAACTCATTTACTTTCTGCAATGATGAACTATCCTAAATTTGACCAAAAGAACAAATATGCAGATTTTTCTCTTTCTTCTGATGATAAATGATGTATTTCTATCTTCGTTTGCTACAAGTCTCCAATTATTGGTGCAAACACAGTTATAAAGTTGTATGATTTAAAATGAGTGGAATTCAAGTAATAGATAATTTATGTAACAAAAAGTCAACCTTAATAAAGGATCACTATTAATTTAATAGAATTTCCCAGATACAATAACATAAGGGATGAGTTCTGGTGGCATAGTCCATAGTGAGTTCCACTGCTAACCCCCCAAAAATGGTTCCTCTATGCTGTTTCGAATCCACCTAGCAACCTTACAGGAGAAAGATGGTCAATCCCTTCCTGTGAAATTTACAGCCACTATAAACACCCTGGAGTATCAGCCATGAATAGGTTTTGACTCAATGACAATGACTGAGAAATAGGGGGAAGGTAATAATAGATGGGCAGGGCTACAGCCAAGGAGAAAACAATTAACTGAAGTCTGTGGCAGCTAATGACTCTGAGGACTCCTTTTCAGGAGCAAAGTTCATCATTTTCTTGATATTTTGAATTAAATGTATTTTTAATGTTCTTATGTTATTTATGATTCAACTTTTGGAAACATCTTGACCAAAATAATATTTGTAAATTAGTAACTTTAGTCAATCTACTTCCTTCCTTCTTATTGCCACAAAATACCTTATGAGACTATCAAGCCTCATTACACTTCTCTTTCAGTCTAGATCATTGCTGCTCCAGACAAGTTCCTTTCCAGTTCCTTAAACACTGCTGTGCTGGATAATTCTTGGCTTCAGAATAAAGAATCTATAAAGACTCTTCTAAAGATCGCATTGAGTGACATACTGAGGCACTAAGAGCATGAAATTTAGAAATGTTGTTGTTGTTGTTAGGTACCATCAAGTCGAGTATAATTCATAATGACCCTATGAACAAAAGATCTGAACCCTATTCTATCCTGTGCCATCCTCACACTTCCTGACACAAAAGAGCCCATTGCAACAGTTACCGTGTCAATCCACCTGGTTGAGGGTTTTGCTTTCCTTCCTAGACCCTCTGCCTTTTTGAGCATCACATCCCTCTCCAAGAAATAGCACCTCCCAACAAAATGTGCAAAGTATGTGAGGTGAACCCTCATCATTCTTGTCTCCCAAGAACCCTCCAGATGCACCATCTCCAAGACATACTTGTTTGTTCTCCTGGCCATCTATGGGATGATCAGTGCTCTTCTTTAACACCACAGCTCAAAGATATCAATTCTTTTCCGGTCATTCTCATTCATTGTTCAGCTCTCAGATGCAAAACAATTAATAAAAAAGACTATGGCCTGAATCAGATGCACCTTAGTCTTTAAACTGACATCACTACTCCTCAATAATTTGGAAAGATCCCTAACTAAAGATTATTTTTTTTAACTTTCTTTCAACTTTTTAACTTGCATGTATTTATCTCTCTAAGATTAAGTCTCACTTTTTGATAGTAAATTAGTTTCATACAGAGATGTTGTCATCAAGTTCATTCCAACCCATGCAATGCAGAATAGAATCAGGTTTTTTAAGGCTGTTAAGTTTGGAAGCAAATGGCCAGGCCTGCTTTCCAAAGTATTTCTCAGTGAGTTTTAATTGTTAATCTTTAGTCTAGAAATTCGTCATTTAAATAAGTGGTACATATACAACACCAAATACGTTTCATGTAATAGTACAGAAGGATGTTTAGCATATTTTTTATTCAATTTATAGACAATTCAATGCTGTCAAGCTTATCATAACTTACAGTGATCCATCACTGCATTGTTTAGGCAGTAAATCTTTCTGAAATGAGACTGTGCATCTTTCCATCCTGCAGCACATGGTAGATTTGATTTAAACATCTGTCCTTTTGGTGATGAGAACAGCACATAAAAAAACTATGTCACTGAAGTTCCATATCAATCAAACAGGACTGAGAAAAATTTTTAGATTGCTTTAAGTATCCATGTTCTATATTTTCCTAAATGTATAATTTAAACAAGACTGGATAGTTTTTACACTTCTTACATGTTTTCCACATTTGACTGAGAACAATATTACCATTTTTATCAGCCCTTTCTTGTGAAAAATATTTTAGTTTCCTTTCCTGATAGGTATCTGCCTTATTCTACTTTCTCAAGTTTACTGTAATCATATATAGGTATGTGTTGCTTAATCCCCATGATATTCTGTGGAATAGAATTCTTTAGAGCATCATGTGCTTTAGATCTTGTGCCAAAAAGACCATGTGAAAGCCTTAAGAGAGCCAGTTATGATAATCCTAGCGCCAGTGCTGCTAATGCTGTTGATACTGCTGGTAGTGGCTGGAGAAATGTGTGAAGTAGCCATGACAGATGACAGTGTAGGATCCACAGCAGAGAGAGAGAGAGAAACAATGGCAAAGTTCACCAGCCCACTGTTCTATCCACTTAAGCAGCAGAGGCACCCTATAATTCTCTGCCCTCGAACTACTGTCCTATCCACAAAACAAACAGAGCCGACAGAATACTCACAGAGTCATGCTTGATTGTTCACTTATCTGCCAATTACCCATGGCTTCATTCTGCAAAGATCTGAGTTTAGAGTCTTGAAAACCATAAGATTAAATATAAACCAGAAAGCAATTGCTCTTCTGGAAAGCCAAAAATACTTCAAATAATTAATATGTTTCACCATATCCAAGCCCCAGAGATCAATATGAAGCTGGCTGTTATATAAACAGAAATAAAATGAAATGTACTTGCATATGTATGTACATTGAAATCAAAGACCTTCATTAACAATAAAGATATTGATAATTTTAAGTAAACTCTGCTTATTAGAATTACCAAAATTTCAAGGACTTCTAACAAATTCCGTTAAAATGCTGAAATTTCTGTATCTGAGATTTTTTAAACTAGCTAAAATAAGTTTGTAGTCATATTATAATAAAAGTATAATTATTGTGTAGTAAAGGAGCATAGCCATAGGAGTGATCTCTGTGCAATAATTTAAAATCAACCACTAACTCCTAAGGAGAAAAATAGAAACTTTCTTCCTTGAAATTTATACCACCCAAAAAGCCATTAGAAGTTTAGCTATGAGTATAATCTGAGTCAAGTACAACGTGTTTAAGGGTTTTATGGGAGTTTATAGACTGGTAGTATATTATTAATGAAAGTTGTTATGTGATAAAGTCACTTATACACTTGAATGTATTTGAAAGCAAATAGTATTATAAATTAATAATGCTGAATTAAAATTTTTATAAATTCCACCCAGAATATACACTAGGATGAAGAGAATGGGCAGACAGAGCAATCAGACAACTGGAATCGGAACTGGTTTTGTCCTACTGGGATTGTTTCACCACATCCAAGCCCCAAAGCTTCTCTTCACATTAATCTTCCTCGTGTTCCTTATGGCCCTTTTTGGCAATATTGTCATGATGCTGCTTATTTGGTTGGATACCCGACTTCACACCCCTATGTACTTTCTTCTGAGCCAACTTTCCTTCATGGACCTCTTATATATCTCCACTTTTGTCCCCAAAATAGCCATTGACTTTCTGTCTGGGAGAAACACCATTTCTTTTATTGACTGTGGAATTCAGCTGTTCCTCTTCATGACCCTTGTGGGAGCAGAGTGTCTTCTCCTGGCTGTCATGGCTTATGACCGCTATGTGGCAATATGTCATCCACTTCATTATTCGGTTCTCATGCGCCCTGCAGTCTATGGTTCCATGGTCTTTGGAACCTGGCTGGGAGCTCTGATCAATGCCTTAATCCATGTAATCTATGCCCTGAATCTTCCTTACTGTGCTTCCAGGGAAATACATCATTTCTTTTGTGAAATCCCAGCTCTCCTAAAACTTGTTTGTGCGGACACATCTCACTATGAAGATGGTCTTTTTTTCAGTGGTGTTGTGTTTCTCCTCATTCCTATATCAGCCATCATGGTCTCTTATGGAAAAATTCTCTCAACTGTTTTGGGATTAGGATCAAATCTGGGCATGAAAAAGGCTTTGGCTACCTGTTCTTCCCATATGATTGTGGTGTGTCTTTTCTATGGAACAGCAATAATGAAGTATTTTTTGCCCAAAGCCTATCATTCAGCTGAACAGGACGAAGTGGTCTCTGTCTTCTACACTCTCCTTACACCCATGCTTAACCCCCTTATCTATAGTCTTCGAAACAAAGAGGTGGCTGCTGCTCTCAGAAAAGTACTGGGGAGATAAATAATCTTACTGAACAGACTTCTGTCTACTGATATTAAAACATGAAAGAGTGGATCTCAGTTGTGTAAGAATATTGCTTGCTATACAAAATATAAACAATATCCGGTGAGCAAACTACTACTTTCTGAGTATAACTGGTGACCAGACTTCACCTTAGCTGTTAGTAGAACGCTAATATTCCAAAACAGGCATTCGGAGATACAACTTCATCAGAGTTACATCAATTAACACATAAGAATACTCTTTGTGAAGATACACCAAATCTGTAGGAATCAATATGAACCACAAGTGTCATTTTGGTGTTATACATAAGTAAAAATGCTTATGGGAAATCTGCTTTGATAATTATTTTAAGCCTTGGAAATATGATAGTAAGTTTGTTGTTTTATTTTTTTTTGGAAGGAAAAGGTTATGCAATATTGATTTTTAAAGTTTTTAAAAATTTTTAATTTGATTTTAAAATTTGTTGTTGTTGTGTACTTTTAAGTCAAAACCAACCCATAGCTGACCCTCCCATGGGTTTTCAGAGGCAGTTAATAACATGGGAGGTGAATGCCCATCATTCTCTCATGGAGCAGCTGTTGGATTCGAACTTGTGTGTCTTCAGGATTGCACCACAGCTTCTTGACACTAGGCCAGAATAAAAGAATACTTAAAATAATATAAATATTGTTCACACATGATTCCTGTTGCTGTTTTTATGTGCAATCAAGTTGCTTGTAACTCATAGTGACTCTATGCACAATAGTCCTGAAACCGGCTCTATCCTGTGCCAACATTACTGTCTCTGACACACCTACCTGCATTACCCTAGTCACCGTATCAATCCCTCTTATAGATGGTCTCCCTCTCTTTCTTCATCCCTCCGTTCTTCCAAACATGATGGCCCTCTCCAAGGATCGGTTCTTCTTTGCAAAATACCCAAAGTATGTTAGATGAAACATCAGAATCCTTGCCTCCAAAGAGAAGCTTGGTTTCATCCTCTCCAGGACAAATCTGTTTCTTCTCCTGGTAGTCCATGATAGATACAACTCTTCTCTAACATCATAGCTCAAAGGCATCAGTTCTCTATCATCCTTAGTAATTGTCCAGCTCTCTGAGGCATAGAAAGCAATTGTGAACACTACAACCTGGACCAGGTGCACCTTAGTTTCCAGACTGATGTCATTGCTCTTCAGTACTCTGGAGAGGTCTTTGACAGATGACCTTCCCAATACAATTTGTTCTTGATTTCCTGGCTGCTGGTACCAAAAAAGTTGATTGTGGAGCCAAGCAAACAAAAGTTGTTAACAATCTGAATCTCTTCACTATCTGTTATGACGTTGCTAATTGGCCCATAGGTGAGAATCTTTGTTTTCTTGATTTTTGAGCTTCAATACGTATTGAAGGCTGCAGTCCTTAATTTTCTGGAGCAAGCAGTTCAGGCCCTCCTCAGTTTCAGCAATAAGGGTTGTGTAATTGCATAATGCAGGTTGTTGATGTATCTTCCTTCAATCCAGATTCCACTTTCCTCCTCATAAATCTCAGCCTCCCAGATGATATGTTCTGCATATAGATTGAAAAAACATGACCCTGGATACAC